GAGAGAGAGAGAGATTGCATGATGCTGGCACGAACCATGGTTGTTTTGTGAATTGCTCCATGGACTTTCCCAGTAAGTGTAATAAAAAATGGACTTCTTTCTTTTCATGTGAATGGAAAGATACAGAATGGTCCATATGGAAAATTACAATTGCAATTTATGTTAGGGAAAATGTAGATCACCTATACAAAATCAGTCTACAAAGAGAGAGGTGGGATCCCTTGAAGATCAGGGTTCCTTCGACTGCCTTGAAGATGAGCGAATCAAGGAAGCTAAAGACCACATCAGATCAGACACATGTTCTACACCATGAAGGTTCTATATGATGACTCAATAGATGCTATATGAGGGGAGAGGTGGATCCAAAGGGTAGCAGAGAGCTAGCAAGTGAAAAGGAAGGAGAAATAGAAAGTCAGACAATCTTGTTTGGTGCGGTTTGTATAGAGCCGAGGCCCTAAATAATCAAAGTAAAGCTCACCTTCAAATAGTGTCAAGAAATGAGGTTTTAATATTGGGAATCTTCATGATAGCTTTAAAATATATTTTCATCTCTAATTGTAAAATTTAAAGCTTTAGAGATAGTGTACAACGAGCAAATCTATGAAAACTTGAAAATCTTGAAGATTGAAGGCCTAAAAATGCATTATAAGATGCACTATTTCCAAAACTTGAAATCCATTCTTTTCTCATGTGCATGCAACTTGAGGTAGAAATGATCAATTTGAAGATATTTGGGTATCAAAACATAGTGAAAATTTTGAGGTATGCCCTTGATTGTTTAGAGCCTTGCAGTGATATAAACTTTTTCCGATATGTTAATTGTAGGTAGCATTAGCGAGTAAGCCCCTTACTCCTCATGAAGCTTTTCTCTTATAACATGAGGGGCCTTGCCAACTCAAAGAAGAAGAGAACAGCTTTGCACCTAGTCAAGATTTTGGAGACCAAGTTTTTCCTCCAAGATTTGTATATGATAACCTCCGTCTAGGTTAGGAACCAAGGAGACTGGTTTTCCTCATCTATGGTGTGGGGCCATAAGGGTAACTGGATTATGTGGGACCCCCATTATAGATTTTTGAAATGGATGAAGTTTATATAAGGCCTAGGCTTTATGTAATGAAAATAAAGCCTCACCTCAAGTCTTCGTCTGGAAAGCACTTTCAGCAATGGAATTCTTCATGATTGTTTTAAAATCAATTCCAACACCGACAATGACATTTGAAATTCAAAATTGGTTCAAATCTTGGGGATCTATGAGCACTTATTTTTAGGGTGAAATGGACGATCTAGATAATTTGTTACAACACTATTTTAAGAGCTTGAAATCTTTTTTTTTTTTTCACAACCATAATGTTCAAGCCAAGATGATTGAAGTTTTCTAATGCTTGAATTGCAATTTTCGATGACTTATGAGGTAAAGCTGCAGCCCTATCAAACAATTTCCCTTTTGAAATAATATTTGAGATGAATAAATATTATTTGAGAGCTTTAGGGTAAAAACAAACAATCTAACATTCTATTTTGTCTGCAGAATCTGTACAGAATTTGGTCCCATAGGACTACCAATTCTCCAAACATAGAGGCTTGCTAGTGGAAAAATCTTGGAAAAGTATCTTCCCCTCTGATATGAATAAATAGACAAATATACGATATTTACCACTAAGATATGATGTAAACTTCATAGACAAGCCTACCTGTTTTTTTAAGTAGTTTAGGACTTGATTTTTTAAAGGTGCTTGTGCTCCAAACATAGATGCTTGCTAGTGGAAACATCTCGTAATATTGAGAAAAGTATCTTCCCCTCTGATATGAATAAATAGAGGAATATATGATGCTAAGATATGATGTAATTTCAGAGACTGCCCCTACATGATATTTACCACTAAGATATGATGTAATTTCAGCGATTGCCCCTATCTGTTTTTTTAAATAGCTTAGGAGTAAGGTTTTTTAAAGGTGTTAGTGGTATAAGTGGGAATAGTTTTTTTAAATAGCTTAGGAGTTGATTTTTTAAAGGTGTTAGTGGTAGGTTTTTTAAAGGTGTTAGTGGTATAAGTGGGAATAGTTTTTTTAAATAGCTTAGGAGTTAGGTTTTTTAAAGGTGTTAGTGGTATAAGTGGGAATAGTTTTTTTAAATAGCTTAGGAGTTAGGTTTTTTAAAGGTGTTAGTGGTATAAGTGGGAATAGTTTTTTTAAATAGCTTAGGAGTTGATTTTTTAATGGTGTTAGTGGTAGGTTTTTTAAAAGTGGTAGTGGTATAAGTGGGAATAGTTTTTTTAAATAGCTTAAGAGTTTAAAAGTGTTAGTGGTATTAGTGGGAATAGAAACCACAATGTGGTGATTGGTGTATGAAGATGCTACCACCACGAACTCACCTTTCCCAATAGCCAAACTTAGAAGGTGAGACAAACCCAATTTCATTTCCTTTACAAGGAGTAGTTATACTCTCAAAGTATGAAATTATCCCCAACTTTTTTTATAATACGTTTGATTATAAATAGGAAAAAGTTAGTTTATGGTTGAGGATTTAAAAAATTGTGACCCAAACCCGATGGAAAGGTTGTTTCAGTATCAAAAGAGTATCAATTTATCATCTCGACCTCAACTGGATTTGCAAAACAATGGATGTCTCTAAACATAATACTTATTTGTCATACATTTTCATATGTTCATAGATCTATTAGCTCTACACTGTCCTTGGAATTCCAAAATTATAATCAAAGAGAAATTAAATTTGCAGGCCATTATAGGTATTTCTGGCGCTGTAATTGCTGTTTTTTTTTCTAGGTTTTGGGATGCAGCATTGCTTTTATGATCATAAAGCTTAAGCCTTTCACTAAACCTATGACTAAGAGAAAGATTTAAGAATGCCTCTTGATATAAGAAAATTATATAGGCTCATCACCTTCCAGTTATTCGAATTGAATAGACTGTGGGCTTCAAGCATATTGTTACAAGTTAGCCTCGGACCATGTAATCTTGATTGGACAAATCATAGTATTTATATTTATTTTGGTAAATTATTTTCACATTAAATTTGAGGTGTGATCACTTCTTATAGTTGCACCATAAAAATTAAATTTATTTTTGATAAAATAGAATGACCAAAATTATAGGGGTATTTTGGTTATTTTATACGATTAGTTTTTTTTAGTTATGTCCCTATCAAGGGTATAGGCATGCCCCAACATAACTTATAGAAATATAAATAATAAACTAATATTAATCACCGCATTATGACTGAAGTTATCTTAACCGTCCATTCAAGAGGAGGGCATATATAATTTTCTTTTTCTTTTTTTGACAGAACTTAAAAAAATTAATAATAAATCCTCACAAAAAGGTGATTACATCAGAAGAAACAGAGAGAGATACATAGTTACACCTCCTTTAGCAAGATAGTCTGTCAAAGAATTTGCCTCGCTGTAACCTTGAAAAGCAATAGATAACGGTTCCACTATGTCCATAATCTGAAGCCAACACGACCTTAACTCCCATGGAACCCGACTCTCCTTATTGCACCAATGAATCACATTCATAGAATCACCCTCGTTCTCACATGAATTGCCAATGTTTCTAGCAGTAAAGATCTTCAAACATTCAAGAATAGCTAGTAGCTCTGCATGATTTGTATTGGTTATACTAGCCGACCTTGCAAAGGTAAAGATAACCTCATCAAACACATTACGCAATACCCCTCCTATGCCTGCAACTCCTGGATTCCCAAGGGAACTCCCATCAAAATTCAGTTTGAATCCACCTAAGGACGGTGCTACCCATAAGCCTCTTGGTCTAAGCTTAAAGCTACCCATCAAAAAACAATTAAACGAATTTAAGAAAACATCAGGTTGTGAAATCCCCCACTCTTCTTTAGTAATAGATGCCCAACACTAAATAAAAACTTTAATTTTGGAGAGCACTCTCTAAAACGGTAAACAAACCCCGTAAAAAATCCATCTATCACATTGCACCAAAAGATACATGGAATCTTGGAAAGAGGGCACATGTGATATTTATTGCACCAAAAGATACATAGAAAACTTTCCTTTCCGTTACAGTTGGGAGGGGGGAATACATGATTTTCATTGCACCAAAAGGCACATAGAAACTTTCAATTCCAGGGTATTCCATTTTTTATGAAGTCATGATCTTGGAAATTAACATAGTTGTGGGCATTGATGACTGTGGACCATCATGTGTCTTACTTTTTGCAACAATGCATACTTTCATATGGTGCCACTTGCCCTCTTTTCTACCCGTTTTGTGGGTGAAATATGATTATTACACATTAATTTATCTTAAAGCTTTGTTACTCAAAAAGTAACAATCTATTAATAGTGTGAATTAATATTGGTCATATTGAGTGAACTATTTTAGTCACAACCTTTAAATACCGTTAATTTGTAGTTTAAATAGTAAATGGTGATCTATTTTTTAAAAAATTTATTGTGAAATGGTAAAGTATTTAAAAAATTAGATTAAGATATTGGAAGAGGCCTATGTAAGTAATTTATCACTTCTTTATCTGTATCTAAACCCTCTTCCCAACAAATATTTTTTTTTCCAAACGAGTAATCATTACAATTTAAATAAAATATAATTTATCCTTTTTTTTTCTCTATCTAAACC